GGAGATAATCAATTGCTTTAGAATCCCCTAAGCCACGTCGCATCAAAGGTGTTTGATCATTTTGGGGGCCGCGGGGAGAAGGTGGGGTTTAAGACGAGAAGAAGAGCAATAATGAAGAGTGGGGATGGGAATGTGGGCCCTGCCGTGGCAGGGCGTGGGCTATGGATGAACATGACGTTGTCGGCTGTTTTGTTCAGACAGAAAGAAAGAGAAATGAACAAACCCCCATCTCTCTCTTTTCTTTCTTTTCATTTCACTTCATTTCTTTTCTTGCTTTATTTTTTCATCCCTCTCGGTCTTTTCCTCTCTCCAAACACACAACACTTATCTCTTTCCTTTCACCCCCCGGCCTCACCACAAGCAACCAAGCTGTCTCTTGTTGGTTGTGTAGCTGGCCTGTTGGAAGTACAGAAGCACAACTATCCTCTCCTCCTGATACCTAAACTCCAGACCCCAAATCCTTCCGTTTCCTAATTCCTCCGCCGCTGCTTCTTCTCTCTCTCCTAATTACTCATGTGAGTTTTAATCTCCCCACTCCAAATCTATGTTAATTTGTTTCATATATTTGCCTAACTATGTTTCTTTCCTCAGGTCTTGCTGGTGTAACGTACGGGTCAACAATTAACAACTCATGGGACATCAGTGGATTTTGGAGGAGGTAAATTAAAAACCAAGATAGCTAGGTAAGGGCCTTCTTTTTATGATTTTGAGGATTGATTAGTATGGAAGTAAGAGGGCAAGAGAATGATGTTAAACCTCCGGGGTCTTCGAGTTATGGGCATAAATATTCTCCGGAAATGGAAAGGAGGGATGGGAACCATAGTGGGAGTAATGTACTAACTTGCACTCAGTCCTTAGATCATGTCCACCGTCCACAAAGACTACCATCTTTTGGTCAAGGAAGGTCTCAAAATGCAGATCGAGCCGCGATTGCACCCATCTCGAAGGCGGTGCGATACAGGGAGTGTCTCAAGAACCACGCCGCCAGTGTGGGGGGCAGTGTTTTCGATGGATGCGGTGAGTTCATGCCCAGCGGGGAGGAAGGAAGTCTAGAGGCCTTGAAATGTGCTGCGTGTGACTGTCACCGCAACTTCCATCGCAAGGAGGTCGACGGGGAGACCCAATTCAGCGGGAATTCTAGCAGGAGGCCACTGTTGCTTAACCCACTCCAGCTGCCTCAGCCGCTGCATTCCCCAACCATGTTGAAGTACTCGATGCACCCAAGTCCATCAAGTGCAATGGTTGCACCCATGAATGTAGCCTTCGGTGGCACAAGTGGCGGGACCGAGTCTTCAAGCGAGGATCTCAACGTGTTCCAGTCTAACAACGAGGGAATGCCACCACCGCCTCCTTACGTACTGTCCAAAAAGCGGTTCCGAACAAAGTTTACGCAGGAGCAGAAGGAGAAGATGCAGGAGTTCGCAGAGAGGTTGGGCTGGAGGATTAACAAACAAGAGGATGAAGAGGTGGAGAAGTTTTGTGCTGAGGTTGGGGTGAGGAGGCGGGTGTTTAAGGTATGGATGCATAATAACAAGAGCAATGGGAAGAAGCAGCAACAAGATCAGTAGATGAGTAGTAGAATGGAAATATGATTGGTATAGGGGAAGAAGAAGGTGGATTGATGATTAATTAATTAACTGGAAGTTTGCTATTTCCATTCTACTGCTCATCTGCGGATCTTGTTGCTACTTCCTCACATTGTTCTTGTTATTAAGCATCCAGATTTGTGTAATATTCTTCCTCCTTTGTTGGTTGGGATCTTTTCCAAACAAAATCCTGCGTTTTTATTCTTTTTCAAGTTATTTAGTGCTTTTCTCATCAAGAATATTATCATCTTTATCTGATCTTTTAATTAAGTTCTTGCATAAAATTATGTGCACCTATGAACCATTATATAAGTTATAGATTGAAGCTTGATCTCGTGTTTTATGACCAAGAAAATGTGTTTGACTTATGGGATTGTGCTTTAGATTTATACTTGCATTTTGATGATCTCTAAATGTTCTATTAACATTATATACTAACAAAATGTTTTTTGAGTTGTTATCTATTAGTACTAAGCATTACCTTACCTTGGAAGATTTTAAAAAACATTATTAATAGATATATATATATGTGTGTATATGTATGTATGTATGTGTCTGTGTAGGTGGGTGGGGGGAAAAAGAATTAATCTCATCGTCCTTTATCTACCTTTTCCAATTGTAAACATACTAGTGCCTGACGAATCTCAGGGCTATTTATCTTGTGAGAGTTTTCCAATTCAAATTCAGAATTTAATGTGAAAAGGATGTCCTTGTCTCAATTTTAGTATATGGGTGAGGGTGTGCTTTTTCAGTTGAAGGGAAGTAGTTTAGAGCCATTAATACTCTTCAAATAAAATTAGCCTAGTTAGTATGGGATACTTTGAATTAGGGGTACTCTTGATGTGGTTTAGTTTGGTTTTCAGTTTTTTTTTTTTTAATCAAACCAATGTAATTGACTAGAAAAATTTTTAATCAATTCAATTTAATTATTTTATTATAATCAAATCAATTAAATTTAAATTGATTGAAGTTGATTTGGATTGAATTAAGTTTTACTCTTTTTTTAAAACAAATTTAAGTTAAATAAAAGGGTCATTTTATCTAATACTGTGTTGCGAACTGCTAGATGTGTCGATCTACTTTGTAGATGGGTGAAAACTATAAAAAAAATTAAAATTTCGTTTAATGTGATTGTAATCTTTAATTTTGTTTTTTTAATAAATTTTATAATTTTAAATAAGATAATTATTTACTCTCATATATTTTTATAATATATCATCATTATTTTTTTAAAAAATAAGAACAAAAATAAACAAGTTTGCTTTTTTGTTTTAGTATTAAACTCATCTTAAGCTCATTTTTTATGGATGGGTAACTTATTAAAAATTATCTTGCAATTAACATTAAACTCATCTTAAACAAATTTTTAGTTTTAATTTTTTTTTAATTTTCATTTTTAATAATTATAAAATTTATAAAAACTAAAAAAAAAGAAGAAGCTAAACTTGTGCAATTATAAAGGAAAAGGACTATTAGAAGTTGAACTCTCAACTATGCAGTCCTAAGCACTTGAACTTGAGTTGAGGGATCAATGGACCGATCAAGGTTGCTCCATTAAATATCTATATTTTTTGGAACAATAGAACCATAAAATCGCACTCACTAGGCCTTACCGTACATGCGGTCCAGGACTTTTGCTATGATTTGAAAAAAAAAAAAGAAAAAAAAAAGAAAAGTAAATTGAATACTCTATCCCTTAGTATTTTTTTCATCATAAATACTCTATCTATTCATGTAATTTTAAATATAAGTACATATATACATACATAATTATGATTACTAATTTTTTATCCAATAAAATTATTTAATGAAAGTTATGTATACAAAATTTACAATAATCATCATTTATATTATCATAAAAAAACACTTATGCAAAGTTATGCATTAAAAAAAAAAGTGAAACCAAAAGTTGAGAAAAAAAAAAAAGCGGAGAATACAGTAGGCTAGACTGATTATGGTTGGAGAATGGACAAAGGAAACGACACGCAATTCAGAGCCTTTTTCACTTGCTAAGAATGTAAAAAGCTAGAGCTATCCTGTATCCTGGGTGCTTTTTACTCTTCCCATCATTTATGCCATTGGTACCGGAGCAGGCGCCGGCACATCTGCGGGTATGGAGTCTCCCGCCGATTCAGGTGCGAATTCGGGCGCCATTACGGATGGGGAGTACGCTGATTCCATTGGCATTTCGGATGGAGACCCTGGTGCAAAATCGAATGCTAAGTCTGCCGACTCTAGCTCTAACTCGGGTGCGGGTCCCGATGAGGGACCAGGTGTTGGCCCTGGTGCTAGTCCAGGTGCTGGTCCAGATGCAAGCCCTGGTGCCGGTCCAGGTGCAAGCCCCGGTGCCGGAACAGGTGCTGCCCCCGGTGCCGAATTGGGTGTGGATTCATATGCCGAATCAGGTTCGAAGTTATGTGATGGAGCAGGGGAAGGCCCCGAGGTGGGTTCTGCTGCAATCTGATCCGGAGACGGTTCCGAAGCAGGTGTGACGGACGGTGCTGGACCAGATACGGGTGAAGGCGGGGAGGAAGACAGCAAGTCCTTGAGGCCGAGAGTGTCGAGACCCCTGATCATACCGGCATCGAAAATCAAACACGTTAATTAATAAAACCACCAGTCATTAAGGAAACAGAGAACAACATGGCACGACCAAATGACTTACTCGAGTTTGCCTCTGGCCCAGTCAGTCCACGACGGCGGTGCATCCTTGGCATCCTCCTCGTCGTCGTCGGCGGAACCGGTTAAGCTATTTGCCGCTTGCTCAACCCCAAAGGCAGTAGCAGCGGCTGACAATTGATCCAACGATAACCCAGCAAGTTGATCATCCGAGCTCTGGCCCTCGCTATCGTCGTCGCCCAATACCGTCCAAATTGATAGAAACAACACTAGTGAGAATGCCAAAATGGAAGCTAACTTCGCCATTTTTTCGATTGTTCCACTAAATTATTACAAAATTTCTGATTTTTTTTTCTTTGAAATTTGAAAACTTATGAAATTGAATGGAACGCTATCAATTTGCATTTATAGTGTTCGGGAGGAGAAATCGGTAGGCCGAGGGTGATTGTGCGGCTGAAGGTTATTCAATGGCGATGCATGAGTCAAACAATGGCCGTGCTTCCCGCCATGACTCGTGATATTCCTTCTGTTTTCCATTTTTAGTTCATGGTGAAAAAGACGGTCTCATGACTATCTAATTTTGCATTTACCAAAAGATCAAAATTACTACAATGTATTTTGGGGGCTAAAAAAAAAACCTAATTATATATTGACAAAAAAAAAAAAACTAATTATGCGAATTTGTGGGAAATAATTACAAATACAATACTCAAGATACACAAACTTTATTTTAATATAATTGTATGTTATTAAATTAATGAATATATCAATTTATGCAATCAATTGAGTGAAAAGGGTAAAAGACATGTTATTTATAAAACTTTAGTTGGAGACAATGTGGAAAAGGTAAGTAGTATTTTGTCACAAAAAATTAAAAAAATTTTTAGACTAGAGTTATTTTTAGGGAAGATTATGAATTTGATTTATTTTGATTTTAATCATGAAATGTAAAATGCCAATGATATAATTGTTGTTGTTTTTTTATTGTTAAATATGTATAAATATTCTGTTTTACTATTTGAATTGTATTAAAATATAAAATAGTCATTAAAGTAAAAAAAATCATTAATATTAAGAACTTATCATCATTTAATAGTTAAAATTATATAATTAAATATAATTTAAATTACGAAACGTACTTTTTAATTTATACGATTAAAAGAGGAAAATCAATATATTTTAATTTTTTTGACATAAAAAATATAAAAATATTCAATCATAAATGAGATATAATGTAAATTTTAATTAAGTACCATTCCTGATACAATATGATAGAATATCATAATATTATGATTTATGATGAAATTTATCTTGTTGAAAAAGAAAAACAAAAATTTTCTGTAACTAGTGGTAGAGCAGAGCGGTAGCCTGAAAACGACACTCAGCATTTTCAAATTTTCCGCTCTATCTCTCCGCTTTTATTTTTGTAAACGCAAATTTTTCCCGCCTATCCAACAGCTTCTAGAATACATCAGTTTGGTACTCTATTTTGGAGCTCGTCACATCGCTATA